GCAGATATTGCACGTGCTGTCCTGCCTACCTGGAGGGCAGGTCATGGTGGGAGTGGTGTGGGCACACGGATGTACCCCTGTATAGCGTAGTGCCAAACTCTGAGCTCAGCTGTGTACGTAGTGAAAGACCCAATAAATGGACTGTTTGTAACACCTGCAGCTCCCTGTGTTTCTCAAGTGGAAATCGGTTGTTTCGAGACTTCAGGTTGTTGCCGTGCTTTTGAGCTTTTTGGGTGAGGCCCATGTTTGTCCTGGGATCTGGCAGTGAGTCAAGGCAATGCTAAGGGTTAATTGAAGACCTTGTTCTGGTGGCTGGGAAATGAGCTTCTGCACTTATGGAAAAACACCTTGTACCAGGAAAACACTTCTGAGAACTGGAGAAACTAGTTTGTAGTGGAGGTGGGTTTGCTGATAGAAGGAGGAACTTTACAAGTGATGGAAAGCATTTGGTGCAGAGGATCACCTTTAGAGGATGTGTTGGCTGGTGAGCTGTTGCAGCAGATATTGCATGTGCTGTCCTGTCTACCTGGAGGGCAGGTCATGGTGGGATCCAGCTCTGCTGCTTTGTGCTGTGTTGGGAGTTTCTTTCCTTAGTCAAAGTGTAGCTGGAACTGGTTGCAAGATCCAGCAGGGAATTCTGTGGTCAGAGGTGGTATTAATTCCCAACAGCTGGTTGTGAATCCACAGTCAATTCCTTGATCCAAACCAATCACCCGGTAAATAGAGCACTTGTTCAAAATATACCTGTGGTAGAGTGAGCAAACCTGTCCTGAGTTTTGGTGAGGGAAGGATTGTTAGTCTCCTGTTCTGGAACTCTAGGAACAGTTTTGAGACATCTTCATCAAAGACCACAACTCCACTACTGCTTTTATTCCCTGACTTTCCCCGAGCAACACACACATCCTGAATTCAGAGCTGCCATCACTTTGTCTTCTGCTGTCTCTTCCCTAAAGCCTTTGAGATGAACCAACTGCAGGACCTCAGTCTGGAGAGGGAGACAGCTCTAACATGAGAAGAAAGAATTTTTCCCCTTGGAACAGGAAGGGAGATGGAAAAACACCTTGGAGATGGTCTGGTAGACTTGATAGCTTTAGGGACCTGTCAGTCTGCATAGATAACCTGTGACCACACTGTGAAGCACCAGGGAAGGGCAAAAATATAAGGTAGAATTCATTTGTAGGAGGTTTTTGGGTGGTTTTTTTGTTTGCTTGGGGGGTTTTTGTTTGCTTGGGGGGGCTTTGTTTGCTTGGGGGGTTTTTCCTTGGGGGGTTTTGTTGTTGGTTGGTTGATTTTTGTTTTGTGTTTTTTTGCTCAAGTTGCCAGTGAGCTACTGCTCAGTTATTCTCGTGCTAGAACATTAAATGGTCACATTAAGTGGTGTAATCTCCCATATTTCCATAACCAAGTATATTGGATGCTTATTTTGATAAAAATACGTGAGAAAATCATCCAGTAGGTGAATAACACTTTAAACTTGTGCTTTTGGGTGGTACCACAGGCTCAAAATTGGATGTGTTACTGACAAGTCGAACTAATTTGTGTGGGGGTGGTTTGGGGTTTTAATTAGTGAGTAAAAGGGATGAAGGTCCTTATTTCTGATGTGTCCTTTTTACGTCGAGAGATGTCCCCTTTCATCCTTTGTATCCTTTCCCAGGCTGCTGGGAGCTCTGTGCTGGGTGCACTGGCTGATGTTTCCTGGCAGTTTTTCACAGTTAGGCATCCCCAGCATCCCACACTCGGCTCAGTCTCACACTTTCCTCCACAGCTTCAGGCTCCCTGGAATCCTGCAGCAGAGCCTCCAGCTTCCCCTGTGCTGTGGAAAACACAATGATCTGGTGAGATGTAAGAGGGAAAATAAACCCACATGGCAGCAGAAAGTTTTGCTGGCCCCTGTCCTTGGAATGTTTTAACTTTAACCCTGCTGTGAGTTACCAGCTTTACATCCCCACTGGCATCCTGCAGTACCTGGAAGGCAACTTTTTGGGGATTTCCCTGTCACAGGATACTCACTGTCCACAGCCACCTTGGGGCACAGGCTCTGCAGAAGAGGATTTCTAATGAAGGTGCTTCTCAGAGATGTTAAGAGAGATTTAGGAGGGAAAGTCCCTGAGGTGAGAGGGGGAAAAGGGTTAGTTTTCTCTCCCTGGGAGGGAGAGTGACTCTGAGGAAAGTGGTCTTGCATCAAGGGTGTTCTCAGCACTGATAATTCTGTTGATAATATTTGTGAGCTTCTACCTTTGATTTCTGATGGATTAAAGGTGAGTTGTTGCTCTTGTGATTCCTGCCTTGCAAAACAGGCTTTGTTCCCATGCTTTTCTCCTCCACCCCGAACTTTGGCAGTTGTTTTAAGAAGTTAAAAAGCTCTTTTGAAAAGGGACAGTCCAGTGAGACACTTTGCTGTGCCAAAGGGGCTGGGCAGGGGTTTGTGCTCCCACAGAGATCTTTTTTTGCCTCAGCTCATTCCCTTGCTCCCTGAGTACAAACCCTTCTCCCTGTTTTCTGCTGGAACATTTGAGGCTCTCAGACTTTAACCAGCAACACTTTTCCTTCATTTCAAACTGCAGTTAAGAACTACAGAGGGGTAAAACATCCTAATTAAACCCACCCTTGCTCCTCACAGACCTGTTAAACACTGTGTTAATGAAATGAGTGACAATCTAAGCCTGCTACCAAGAGAAAAATCAGACTTTTCTTTGGCTCTTTTGCAGGTAACTAGTTCTAAAGCAACCAACTTGCTGTAAAGCCCAAGGATTACAGTTTTGACTCCTAAATCCATTTTCAGGGGTTTCAAAAGCATGCAAGAGTTCAGAGACCCAGCCTTGCTCACTCCTTTTGCTGAAAACAGTCCCATGAGACAGGTGCAGCTTTATTTCTGTGAGTGTGTTTCTGCCTGCTCTTTTAGGAACTGGAATCTGAACTGTGGTCACCCAGGGCTGAGCATTTGGCCAGAGGACACCTGGAGTTACACAGACCTTCCCAACCTTTTAGAGGACTCTTGTTATGCAAAACGTGTTGTTACTCCTGTGGCTTTGGCCTCAGGGGTTAGACACAGTGTGAAACTGAGGTCAGTTTTTATGCAGGGTCTTGTTTCCAGCTGAAGTGAGGTGTGTTGCCTGCTCAGAAAGCAGGTGAGGATCTTGTGCTCCTTGGTTTCATGGGAAGGGAACAATCCTCACTATTTCCTCAGCATTAACCACTTTGAAGTAATTCACTCTTGCATTAGGCTGACATTTTGTCAGCCTTGTTTAATCATGTAATGCAGTGTCCTCTGATATTTGTAAATAATAAAATCCAAGGAGGGAGAGCCCAGCCTGCCCCTGAAAAAACAACTCGTAGTCATTAGGGCTCAGTGGGATTCACCCCCAGAATTCAAATTAACCAAGGCTGGAGAACAAAAGTATAAGTAAGAGGGAAAATAAGTGACAGCCAAGCTGAGAGGGAACATACCTTGAAGCCACAGGAAACCATGTTTTGGGTCTTGGACATTCCCCCTCCTAGTTTAAGAACAACCCTGTGTGATTGCTGGGGTAGGGGATGGTTATTAAGACAAGTTTAAGATTGATGTATATGTAAGACAAGTGCCATGCATAAGTCAGAAACTGGATCTACTGTATTTCCACAGTGGTTTTGTGCCTTGCCTGGCTGGATTTTGATCTCTTCAACCTGCATTTCCAGTGACACGGAGGCCCCTGGGTTGTGTGTGTTCCTGGGACAGCTGGGAGAATGTGCAAGGAGAATTTTGTGGACCTCACCTCCCTGTGAGTATTTCAGAACGATCCCTTAAAGTGCCTGGAGAGAACTTACAGGAAAGGCAGGGCAAGGCTGTTTGCAAGTACTGGCAGGACAAGGGGGAATGGGTTCAAATTGAAAGAGGGTAGATCGAGATTGGATATTAGGAAGGAATTCCTCCCTGGGAGGGTGGGGAGGCCCTGGCACAGGTTGCCCAGAGAAGCTGTGGCTGCTCCTGGATCTCTGGAAGTGTCCAAGGCCAGGTTGGAGCAACCTGGGCTATTGGAAGGTGTCCCTGCCCGTGGCAGGGGGTGGCACTGGATCATCCTTAAGGTCCTTTCCCACACAAGCCATTCTGTGCTGGCACAGCCCGTTGCATCGAAGCTGAGAACGGGGCGGTGCAGCAGCGCCGGAGGGGCTCTGTGGAGCTCTGGGGAGGCCGGTGCCGCATCCCCCGCCCCGCGCCGGGGCAGCCCCGGGCCCGCCTTCGCCGGGAGCGCGGGGGGGGCTGCGGGGAAGGGGCCGGGCCCGGGCGCCATGGCGGCGGAGAGCCGGCGGTGAGCGGCGGGGCCGGGCCGGGATGAGCCCCCCGAGGCGGCGGTGAGCGGGCGATGAACGGGTCGGGGCGGCTGCCGGCGGGGCCCGGGGAGCAGCTGGGCGCGAACGGCAGCGGCCCCGCGGAGCTGCGGGAGGGCACCCACGCCGCCACCTTGGCCGCCTGCGCCTCCCTGCTGGCCCTCGTCTTCTGCCTGGGCTCCTACGGCAACCTCATCGTGCTGCTCTCCTTCTTCGACCCGGCCCTCCGCAAATTCCGCACCGACTTCGACTTCATGATCCTCAACCTGTCCTTCTGCGACCTGTTCCTCTGCGGCGTGGCCGCCCCCATGTTCGCCTTCGTGCTGTTCTTGGGGCCGGCGCGCGGCGTGCCGGGCGCCT